GGTCAGAGCGATCGTCTCCACGATAGAATCCGTTTCAGACGTCCAAAAACGAATGAAAAAATAGATAATACTCTCGTGCACGAAGGAAAGGATGGATGGGTATACGAGAGACTCTCGCCATAAAAAAAGTCGCAACATTTATTGATAATAAACGACAGGAAGAGCTAACGACTTTCGTGTACAAACAAGAAGAAAAAGAAATTCGAGTAAATCTTGTTACAGAAGTACCTATTGTTATTGCTGATTATCACGACATTCCGAGTCGATACCTTATAGTATATTATGAAGACAATAATATTATATAGGTGTATGATATTCTTGATGCGGTTTCCTTGTGAATTTTAGAATTTCTCTGTTTACTCCTGAAATGTATACAATTTATATCGTTGAACTAACAAAGATAAAATATATTTATAATTGATCATTAATCACCATGTTGACTTCTCCATACCGACTCGACGTCAAAGCATCCGTCTTTTAAAATAAGATTCTCAAATTGTCTCATTCCACCACCCACGCCAAAATAATAGGTTTTTCCAGCGACAAATCTAATAGAAATTTACCCGTTTCGAAACTTAAGTTTTAATGATAAAAATAAGACATCAATAATCCAGTGTACTCACACAACGCCATCGGCTGTTAGCTTCCTCTTAAAAATTTCATATAATTTTTTGTGATTATCAGGATTGTAAATCGTTTCGCTCGTAAAAATATAATCGTACTTTTTACTTTCGTCGAGTAACGTCGCGAGAGAAGCCCAATCCCCGGCATAAAATTCGCATCTCGTCAGTACAATCGTACGATCAAAATTCAATATTACATTCGGTATCGTCACGGATTTTAGCACTTCGGCATTCTATAAACAATTATTTCGTTAATCACGGCCCACTTTTCAGAGTGACAATTATAAATCATACGAACGTAATCTTGGAAATGGACGGTGGAATTTTTACGAAGAGACAGAAGGCCAATCACTCCAGCGCCACATCCTAAATCCATAACAAGTTTGTCTTTCAACTCGATTTCCTTTTCCAATATGTACTGGCCCAAATCGAAGGTGCATTCCCAGATTTTTAAACCACCTTAATTGCACAATTAATTTTCAAAGCACATATTAACGAAACTTCAAGGAGATTCGAATAAAATTTAAATTATTAGCAAATCCAAGAGAAAAAAATTCAAAAATAAATTTTCATTTGCAAAAATCACCTTCGTATTTTGCTGGAATGAGATCGGAATGTTTCGACTCGGCCTCAATAATATTCTGGCAATTTTGATCAGTTAAATCCTGCGTTACTTTATCGGAACGGATTAATTTTAAATTACAACTAGACAACACTTCGGTCTCTGTATAATAATAAGCCTCATATTTCGCTTCGATTTGTTCGGGAGTTATTTCAAGTTTGGAAGCAGAAATCCATTCTAATTTATCCTTCTGTTTGCTATCTGCTAAAATTATTTAGATAAATAACTTTTTTGCACGTACATACTTAGTAAGAATTGAAAGATGTGAATTGAATATTCGCGGGAAAACAATTTTGTAACACTCTAACCTCAAATTATGACAGACACGTGTTTCAAAACTTATCACAACAATATGGGGCATTTTTTCGTTATCCAACCATAAGCTACCACAACTAAGGCTTATCTTCGTCTTCAGGGATCAGAAGACGAAAATAGCCTTAGCAATGGTTGTTTCTGGTTGCATAACGAAAAACCGCCAATGATTAGCCATACCTTCATCAATATCAGCTGCACTTTCTGCAAATCGAAATTTGAACATTGTTCGGTAAGTTTGATTTCAAAAATTAAAAAGTCACACATCTAGGGTAAATTAAAGTATCAAATAAAGTATATATCATTACAGAGGAGTGGATATATCTATATTTCAGATAGAACTCATTTATTGAGTCAATGTGCACGAAACGTACATATTCGTTGAACTACATAGCTACTGATATTTCCGGCGGGTAACACATCCACGATTTCCAATTTTTGTGATTAATTGTTTAGTTCTATTCCATGCTATGTTCACAGAATATAATTGTGTAACAATTATTGGAACATAAAATCGAGGATTGTGGATATATTATACTCACTAGAAATATTAGTGCTTATATTATAGTTCAACGTGTACGTAGACGACATAGACGCGCCAGTAAACATTTTTCATCTAAAATGCACATACGTCCTCTCTCAGTCTCTTTCTGCACCAACCAACGTTTCAGTATCTTCGATGGTAAGTCAGAAAACTACTAGATCACTCCTCGAACTTGAACTTGCTTGGAGAATCGCGACATCTGGTATATAGTTGTGCAATTTCAGTATTCTTATTCCAAGAACAATATTATATAATACTTGGGAGTTTAAAAAATTAAGTATCTTATAATGCAATATTCGAGCAAGTTGAATTGATGCGAAATAGATCCACTGAAGAATTAAATTTTAAATCACAATTTGAACTATTTTTATGTAACTACAATAACTGCTATTGAAGATAATTGAATTTAATTGTTTGTCTTTTATTTAAAAAATTTATTTTGTTGTAACTATATATTTGCAAAATAATACATTTAAAGGGATCCTAAAAGGTTTGTTCACGTCGCATGCTCCAACATGCTCCAACATGCTCCTGCCATAGTTCTTATACACTCTAATGAGTGCATTGAAGTGAGTAGAAGCTACGATAGAAAAATACTTGCTTGAAAAAAATTAATAAAACAGATTTGCTTTAAGATCTCCTTAAGGCCAACATACTTAGTCAATTTATTTCTACAAGAAAAAGAGAAAGAGTTGCGTTCTCCCATTTTCTTACAATAATGTAATATACGTGACAAAATTTTGTAGTAAAGCTTATCGTTGCCCCATGATCAATTTTTCGAATAAAGTCATTAATTACATCGGTATTATTTTTTCATTGTCAATTTAATCGTTCCTGATAATAGCGATTCCCGACAATAATTTTGTCATTCATAAGGAATTAAAAAAGGATTTAAAAAATATGTAAAAGAATTTTATTGTTCGTTTGTTTTACGTTATTATAAGGTTCACTCATTCTTATTCATTTTTATACTGCAAAAAAATATCTTCGTCTACTAATTTTTACTACTTTGACAATATCTACATTGTTCACGACTATACATCAATGATCGCAATTTTATCATGATTATTTAAGTAATTTCTACTTCGTTTTTCTTTACATTTTTTCTATAATAATCAGGTGCTGCATTAGCTGTCGCCTATTTTTGATAGAATCATCCGCGTATTCTTTAATGCATTCGTGGAGCTCGAGATAAATTCTGTAGCATATCACGATTTTAACGAGTATATTAATATTTTATATTCTTATCGATATAGGAAGCAGAAATTCATTCTTTCAACAGAAACTCGATACGCAGCATTTCGTGAGTCGTAAGAATTACGCCAATGACAAACGATCGCAGGAAACAATTAGTCGACAGTAAATTACGACGGGTAAACAAAGGTCATTCGATGCCTTTCGTGAATAAAGTGTTATCTCTAGATCATGCGCTCACAAACACGATGTGCTTCTTCGTTATATGTTGACGTTATTATTCCAAGCAGAAACAAAAAAAAATGAACGCCGAACGACATGTACTTTGTCTACTGTAATTCAATGAAGTGATTGTTATTATTGAATGTAAAACACTGTCTTTGTTTATTTCAATTATTTTCACATTATTGCAATTACGATTTCATTTTTGTAAAATTACGGGCAATATAATACTAGAAAAAAAAATCTCATTATTTACATTTTAATCATAAATCAGATTACATCAGATTCAATAGAACCAATTTGAAATAGCGTAGTTCCATTTACACAAATTGCATCGATCGTTCGATGTATTCTTATCAGAAAATATATATGTTATTATGTGGCAGATAATAAATCAGATATCCAAATGCCCATGAAAATGTCAAGCCATTAATGTTATTCATATGTAGAAATGCGTAGAAATTTTAATAAATTGTACGCTGATGTTGTTTATTAAAAATTCTGGATTGCTGATCAAGACAACAATGAAAAAATAATTGAAAATTCACGATTCACTAAATGAGCCGTTTATTTTGAAAGTGGTCTAAGTCCACTTGTCAATTTTTTGTTGTTGACTGTAGTAGCGTGTACAACTTGAAGTTAGCTGTCATAAACATTTTTTTTTTTTTAATGGACTTAGGTCACTTTCAAAATAAACGGCTCAAATATATTAATTTTATATGTTCTGTATAATCGAGCGATATCGATTGGTTACGTAACTTCTAGATACCGTTACTTATCGGAAATTCACTATCCATTTGATAAAACCGTGCAAATCGCATTCATATAACGTAAGCGCTAACTGTGCTTAGAAAAAAAAAACGTAAGAAACTGAATAAATAAGAAAATAAATATAATAAATAGAATCAATATAATTGTATCAAAACTTCATAACTCTCTTTTCTCTGTCGTACTTACAAGTAATCCTAAACCTGACATCAGCACATTCAAGTTTATTTTTATTAACGTAGATTAATTTTAAGCAGTTTCTCTTACTTTTATCTTTTTCTAGTTCTAAACATTAGAAAAAGATAAAAAAGGCAAAAGAGTAAATTAAACTGAGATCAAAGTTAATTTGCATTGATAGAAATAAATATTAATCCATAAATAACCGCGTTAGAAATATTAAGCTTAAATTAAAAAAGAAGATGATCTTTTTTTTCTAGACAAGTATTATTTGTTTATTCTTTAGATATTTTTTCATTACATATTTTATGAATTTTTTCAGCACTTTTCTGTGTTTTCAATCTCTTAGAATATATAAACGCATTAATGTTAATAGCATATTAATTATTTTAACATAAAAGCTTTCAAGTCTCATCCCTCTTTTTTATGTAATTATTTTCGTAGTATTTTTCGCCGCACCGTTACTCACTCACTTTGCCATTCTCATTAATTTCGATCTATTGTGTTCGATTTTTTATCGCATAGACAGCACAATTCTTTCTTCCGCTTTCTTTCGATAGCAATCAGAATGATGTAGATATTATGCGAATTTTCGAAATACAGGATAGTAGAATACTCGAAACAAGTGTAACTCCTCGAAGTCGTCGTCATTGCAATGTCGTAGTCACTGTGACAAACACGTTGAAGAGGGGACAGGGTTAAGGGACTACCAAACGGGTTGGTTCTCGACGCGCGACTCTTCATCCGAGGGGACTTCCCGGCTGCCGTTCGGATTTTCGTTTAAAAGCGGACGCGGCATCATGATGTATCCAGTTTTACTTTTGACACACGCTGTAAAGGTGTCAATTATGATGAGGTTGTCCTCTTACTACATTCACTTGTCAGCGTTATATGTACTCCTCTTTGGTTTCCTCGAGCATGCGGTGCTTGCCATTCCCATTGACAACACGAATTTCATCAATGCAACCGGTAAGCCACTCGAGATTTTATACCGGAATCGAAAATACATCATATTTTCAGAATTAGTTCTTCTGCGTGGCGAAAAAAATCACGCGACACTAATAATATTGTGGATCACGCAGTAGATATTTGTAAGAAGATTGTAACACATATAATAAATTTAAAGAGCAATCTTTTTGTATCATTTATAATATGTAAGTAGAGGAGATTTGTAATATCTAAGAACATAATATACCTAATACACTAATTATTCTTTTAATAATAAATAATATACACTAATTATTCTTTTAATAATAATGAAATTTTTAATGTGTCGACCGCTCAGTTATATTATATTTCGACTGAAGCAATATAACTGAATTGCTAACATTAAAAATCTGATTATTATTAAAAAATAGTATGTCAAAAGGTACGTGTGTTCCTGGGTATCACAATCTCCCTATTATCTACAATAAAATAGGTTTTTTAATTATTATTCGTGTTTATATTGTTCTTTTCTGTCAAGTCCTTAATAATTCTTTTTCGATCATTCTTGTATACGCAAGGTGGAATCTCTCTTAAAAAATAAAAAAAACCGGAAAGGTGTCTTATAATTCTTTCAGTCTATTCAATAACGAGCTAATTATATTTATATTTCCTACGTATATTTTTATTTATGTAAATATGTAATAAAAAAATATTGTTAACATCCGCAATAAATTAATTTTTATTCGACTTTTAACTTTTATTCAGTTGTCGAAAAAGATCTGCGAGCTTCCGAATTGAGTTTCACTGACGTAATTGTTCTGAGTCATTTCTATGTGCAAACTTTAATCATCATAATGAAGTTCACCTTTAGATAAGTATAAGTATAAAAAATACATGGCTCACAACTACGCAACTTTTGCAAAGTAGCTACATTTACAATGGAGCTGTTAGTAACTAGCGTCCAAGTAATGTCTTGCTGCCTAACGGTGTTACAACGCTCAATATAAAATTAAAGTGCATCAGTTGTTTATATCTAAGTAGTATGACTAAGTAGTATAACATTCTATGATATCAGTTCGTGCAATGCCAAGAAAATTATTCTACAAGGATAATCAATCAAACTATAATATTTCGAAACTGGTACAGTACACTCGTACACTGTTATAAATTTTATAGGATTAAATTAACTTAATGTAAGTCGCTACTACTCCTACTCAATAATATCGTTGTTTTTTACTAAAACAATGGTTATATTTGACACTATACAGTATCAATTTAACATTATAGTGTCAAATTTAATTATCATTTTAGTAAAAAATAACGATGTAGGAGCAGTAGCGATTCACATTAGGTTAAATTTGACACTATAGATTTAACAGTGTAGTCAATATTTTTCCATAGGAATAGTAGCGATTCACATTAGGTTAAATTTGACACTATAGATTTAACAGTGTAGTCAATATTTTTCCAAAATTTCCAAAGTTTTCCGCATCTGCAAGACGCGTCTGAGCCGAAATTATTGTATTTTACTTGGGAATCTGATTGGGCAATCTATCATCGTATCTCAAGGACGAAATATAATTTGCATGATAGAAGTAGATTTGTAATTGCGCAACTAATTGCTGAAAACGTGCTTGCTCGTGCTAACTCGTTAGCTGACTCCAATTTATATCTGCCAAGTTTTACGTTACCTGTTCTACGCGACAATGCAGGAAACCCGTAATTCTTTATATTATTATTATTATTATTATTACACTGTTAAATTTTATAAGGTCGAATTAACTCAATGTGAGTCGCCACTGTTTCTACTCAATAATATTGTTATTTTTTACTAAAACAATGATTATATTTGACACTATACAGTATCAATATAACATATGTCAAATTTAATTATCATTTTAGTAAAAAATAACGATATATTTAGTGGGAGCAGTGTCGACTCACATTGAGTTAATTTGGCCCTATAAAAAATTTAACAGTGTATTATTATTATTATCAAGAATCCATAATGCATTTAAATAACAATTGTGCACAGTAGCTTACACATGTTAATCTTTCTATCTGTATTTTAAGCCTCTTCAAAACCTACGAAGAATTAATTTAATTCGAAAATAATTTATTAATAATAATTTATCTATAACAGAGTCTCGGTGTCCAGAGTGCCCAAGAATTGTCAGTCGAAAGGAATGGAATGCCAGGAAACGTCTCCATTTCGAGATTATGCCAATAAAACCAGCACCATACGTGGTGGTCCATCATGGCGGTATACCTAGGTACTGTCGGGATCAGGAGACGTGCTCTGATATCGTTAGAGCCTATCAAGATTTGCATCTGGATCAGCGAGGCTGGTACGACATTGGATATAATTTCGTCATTGGCGAAGACGGTAATGTTTACGAGGGTCGCGGTTGGGATTATATTGGCGCGCATGCAATTGGATACAATACCCAGAGTATTGGCATATGCATCATAGGAGACTTCACCGGTAATTAAGGCATTATAAATATGACTGATGTTTCGTCAGATATATAGATATAATACATAGAAAGATTGATTTTACTCAAGTATTTAAAAAATTCAGTTTGACATAGTTTTGAAATTAATTTTATTAAACTACTAAAATAATTGTATAGGATACTTAAACACAATAAGTAATGGTGCAAAAAAATTTTTGACATTCTAGCAACCAGCCAAAGCATCCTACATAATTATTTTAATAGCCCAACAAAATTATTTTTAGATTTGTATTTAGCCAAAGTTTTAGATACTTGAGCAAAACTATTTTTTCCGTGTAAATCAAATAACATTCCATCGAAGAAAAATTAATAAGTTTTAAAAATCGTTGAAAATGATTGTCAAGTTTTTCTTATTGAAAAATGATTCTTGTTTTTATATCAGTCTCTTTAAAACAACATATAAGGCATCTTCCTTGAGATATCGTTTCGTCTTCTACGTCAAAGAAATCATTATGACACACGTAAATGTATGATTTCGCAGACTTTCTTCCGGACGAGATCGCCCTGAAGACGTTGAACAAGCTGATAGCTTATGGGGTTTCACTCGGCAAGATAAGGAAGAACTACAACGTGATTGGTCATCGACAAGTGCGAGACACGGAATGTCCAGGCGAAATTTTTTTCAAAAAATTCGTAATTAATCTTCCCGGTTGGACTGCAAATCCAAAACCTCACATATGTCCAACCACAACAATAAAGTCGATAGATAATACCGTAGAGGAAAACAGCAAAGCGAATGTTATTCTATGATAATATTTCTAGGTCCTTGTCAAATATATCAGCCGTAATTATAACGAATCTTAGTTAACCTAACAAAGGATTGTAAGTATGACAAAATTATTTCATTTTTTACACAGAAAGAACGATTTTACTAAAGTATCTAAAATTTAGGTATAAATATAGATTTGAAAGTAATTTTATTGAATTATCAAAATAATTATGTATAGGAAACTTAAGCATGACGAAAAATGCTGCAAAAAAAGTTTTGACGTTCTAACAACCAGTTTGAGCGCCCTAATATAAAAATTATTTTAACGGGTTCAAATAAAATTATTTTCTGTATTTAGCAAAATCGTTTTCTCCGTGTATTAAAAAGAATACTTAGGTCGGTATTCATAATCTGTTCTTGTGTATTTTAAGACCGTCTTAAGTAACATCTTAAAATGCTAATATGACTCTGTCTGTGATTGACTTATGACATCTTAAAACTGTACTTAAGATGATCTTAAATATAAGAATCGACTTTAATAAATACCGGCTTTACGATCATATTTTATGACGAAATATTTCTGCCGTATATTTCTATTTCTTTTTTTCTTATTTATAAAAAGAGTCTAACAGATTCGCGTGATTATGTCACTAGCTTCTAGAAATCCGCTTACGCTATTTAGTAAGCAAAGCTCATAATTTTATATTATGTGTAATATAATATATAATAGTATGTTCGATATGCTTGTAGATATTGGATATAACCATTGCTACCTCTACTATTATCATTACAAAATATTCTCACTGCCGAACAGTTAAAAAAAAACCGCCTTTCTCTGTCTCGCGAAGGTGATTCCCTGATATACACAGTGACCTCGTATACTAGACTCTCCGTATTAACATATATACGTCATAGCAATTAAGACACTATCAATAAAAAATTATCATTAGTCAAAACTCAAAGTTTACACGTAATGTACACGTTTCAGATCGTTAAAAAATCAAACAAGACATTCTAAAGTATATGACATAAATATCTCTCACGCAAGTTCGGCAAACAAGATCAATGTCACTCTCACCTTGGTTCGCGTGCGAGCCGTTCTTTTACATGGCTATGCTCGTTGCAATAATATATGCTCTAAGGTCATGGTCTTCAGGTTTAATTAACGACAATAGTAATCGAAATAACACGATGCCGTACAATTGTCTTTCGCATAATTTCGTATGGATTACTCTGATAAAATCATCTCCAGTACTCTGTTCCATAATGTATATGTAAATACATATGGAACATGTATAATGTATGACCGCGAATTTCACGGACATTAAAATGATTGAATTAATATTGATGCTATTATAAACGAGAGGATCGTACATATATATTTCAGAAAAAAGATTTTATGATTAACAAATTAACAAAACCACTTTTTTGGAATTTGCGTTACACATATATATCTGTTGAACTGACCTGCATACTGCATTCTTCACTCTCATTTGTCAGCCGACAATGACGGGCGATTTAAATACTTCCGGTAGTAAATCTGCAAAAAAAATCATTAATTTACTGTTAGTCAATTACAAAGATTATCTCTTGAGAACGCTCATAAAAATACCATTTTGACGGACACATGAAATCGATAAGATAATCGTGTATAGTGTAATATTATCGCAACTTCATTATCATATACTGTTTTTCGAGCAAAGTTCAGAAAGATCAGATGAGATAAGAGTTCAAGTTAGATTTTCATAATGCGTTTCGCTGCATGTACTAATCCAAAGATTTGATTAAAGCGTGAGCAAATCGAAACGTTAGTACGCGTTTATCAACGATTTCACGTTATCTTACTAGTAGGTTAATTTGTGTAATTAATGACGGTTATTGTTCCTTAAAAAAACCCAATCCTTTTTAAGTAATATATGAATGACATACTATCTTTTATATTTATCATTTTCATTCATACGCATTTAAAATATATATTAATTATATATTAAAAATATATAATTATATATTTTCTCGTTATTTCGCATTTCTTATTAGCCAATAATACATAGTTCTGTCTATAACAGTATTTGTGTACACACACACGATATAATATATATGCATTATAAAATCCTTCCCATTTATAGTTTAAATAATTATACACATATATATTAAGCTTATGTAATTATGCTAAATAATTAAGTTTTCCGCAACTGTTACGAGATAATTTGTTAATAAAAGAGTTATCTAATTATTTAATAAAATATTTTAATGATAAAATTCTATGAATTATACAAATTTTGTCGTAAAATATATAAATATACGTATAAATAAATCAACATTCCAATTAAATGATTTAAACACTATTATCAATGCTAGAATTGCCGTTAGTTTTTCCCCCCTTTCTCAAGTCATTAGATTAGCAGGGAAATCCCGTTTGGAGATTACTTCAAATGTGTATGTGTGTACATACGTACACATCTGTTATAGGCAAAGATCGTGTCCTGTGCAATATCTTGAATTAAGGCCCGATTGCACCAACGTTACTTTGATTTTAAGTGAGGCTTAAAACTCTTTCTGTATCTGTCTCTTTTTAGTTTTAAAACGAGACAGATAGTTTTTACAATAATTAAATATTTACAATTAAAAAAAATTAAAAATAGTATTTTATATTAGAGAAGTACATCTTAGAATCGACTAGATCTTTTCCGTCTAATATACTTGGAATTATCTCTAACTTATTCTCCTTGACGTGGCCGTCTTTTTTTCTAAAATCTGTTTCTTGTTTTTCTTCAGTAATTTAATTTAATTTGGATATACAGGGAACTATAAACCATAATGATTCTTGAAACAACATTTGACCCTTATATGATATAAGTGCTGCAAACACTAACTCTACCAATACACTACCTACCTCAGAATACACTCAGAAAAAAGTTTTGTTGATATGTGACCAACAAAAAGTTTTTCGTTGTCCTAACCAAAATGGTTATGCTAATCAAATTTTTATTAGGATAACATAAAAGTTTTTGTTAGTCACATATTCTAACAAAAACTTTATGTTATCCTAACAAAAATTTGATTAGCATAACCAAATTTTGGTTAGGACAACAAAAAACTTTTTGTTGGTCACATATCAACGAAACTTTTTTTTCAGTGTAGGGTTGCCAAATCAAAATTTTCAAAATTAAAACTTACACGCCAAAAACCCTAGACATTTCGCTTGAACCGGACGCATATAACAGTGCGTGTAGGTTATTAAAATTAATCAGAAAACTAGAACAGTAAACAAATTATTTCACGTCTAATTGTTCATTAGTAGTACTAATTCAATATAAGAAATTGATCAATTATATAATCGATTATTCTCCTCACATTCGACTATGATTGGTCAGATTTCCACAACTTAAGAATTACTACATCTATTGTAAATCAAGACTAATACAGAATAACGCCGCAGACGAGTCAAAGTAAAAAATTTAGATTTTCTAAAATCCCGGATGCTCATAATTATCCTGGACGCCTTTGAAAAAAATCTCCCGAACATCCCCGAACGCGCTAAAAAAAAAGATGGTGTCTAGGGAAAAGAAGACGGATGGTAACTCTATACTTCGAAAGGAATAGCGCGCAGTTATGACGTAAAACGCTGGCATTGATGACCTTATAACTGTTAGCACTATCTATAATTTCACAAACAGCTTGTAGCGTTAAATAGCGCAAACAGCGTCTCCTCGAACACACCCATTGCATATCAAGTTGCATATGATATTAGTATCGTTTTGCAAGTCAAAATGTACGTCGCGACGACATCAATTTTTGTGACAGTTTATGTAACACTGATCATCCAGGAGACTGCTGCCAGTAATGCAATTAATATATTATTTATACCGCAAGTTTAAAACTGTGAATTTCGCTTTGTGTCTCCGTGAACATCAAAATTTTTAAAGATATTTCTTCTCGTGAGTGTTAAAAGTTGTTAAAAGAATATTTTGTGTAAACATAGCAAAATTCTTATCCTTGTGATTAGTTTCAAAGATAATTAATTAGAAATTAATTTGTAATAGTAATTGCAAGTAAGCAATAAGATATAAAGTTGTAAAACTAAGAGTTAATTTTCAATAAAAATGAGTTTCTTATCCTGATCTCGTATTTTCTTGATAAATTGAAACTGTCATTATACTTATATTATGATTCATGGAAAAACTCTAATTGTTATCGATTAATTAATTAATAATGTATTTGCGCGACAAGTATAGTAGTTTAATATATTTGCATAAAGCAAAATATTTATCGACGTGATAAATTATTATGGAAATATCCTGTGTATCAAGATTGGTAATTACTATTACATCAATACAATGGACATTATTTGCATTTCGAATAATTTTTCAAACCAGAATACGATAATCACATATTAATTTCAATTTGTGAGTGAAAAATATTTTTACTCTTCTCTCTCTTCTCTTTCTCGCGCTGCGCGTCGCGCGCGCGCGGTATTTATAAATATTTTCTTATATTCTTACATTTTTGTCACCAATGAAAATCAGAGGCATACATGTAATTATCTTATAACAGCATTCATTTAATATTCATATATTCATATAAGGATCTAATTCAAAAAACAATGTTATCCGCTAAGTGATAAAGTATTCCGTTCACGTAAAATTTAGAAGATACGTACATAAGAAGCATGCGGGCTCATAAATCTTCGCGCTCGTCCTTTACAAAAAAGCAATAATGTAAAATATAGTTTCATATTTAAAGATTAATAAAATAACAGCTTTTTTGAACTCATTTAACTAAATTGGATTTTAGAATTACATTTTAATTAATTAATTTAATTAAAATTTATTATAATTCATTGCTAATGCTTATGCTTACATAAAGCATAAGCATTCATTTTTAATTTTAATTGCTTTTTCAGATAGCCCAAACATCATTTCTAGAACAGAATGGGGCGCTAGAAAACCGAAATCGTCATCTCCTAATCTTAAATTAAAACCAGCACCTTATGTGATCATTCATCATTCGGTTGGCTCCGGTTGCGAAACTCAAGCTGTATGTCAATTAAAAGTGAGACAGTTCCAGGTAATTAATATATCAAAAACAAAACTTTTTCTGAACGGCAAATCTTTTTTAATTGTAACTCATCGTACGCAAACAACCATATAGGTACAACTCAAATAATATTTTACATAAATATTTTACATATATCTATTTTAATAAAATAAAGTTAATTCCTTTTTATTTTGCGTTTTAATAAATAATAAATTTACAAATTATAAGTAAATACTGATATTAATAAATAATAAATATATAAGTAGAGAAAGGTCACCGATATCGACATATCACTTTGTTTTTAGACAATATTTCTTAAACAAAAAGTAAAAATACAACTTCAAAAACAAAGTATAAAGTGTCTTCTATCAGATAGTATAAGCAATTTTTATAATATACTGTTTGCAATTTTGCAATAATTAAGTTTTTCCTAAGTTATGCAAAAATGAGCGTCTGACAAAATGAGCTCCAAAACTGACATAGTAGGCAATAATGTCAAAATTCCTATTCTATAAATAAAGATATATCCTATTCTGTAAAGAAAACTAATTTATGAAACCATAAACATTTAAAATGACATAATATTATCAATAATACAGTCACTATTATTTTAATTACGCAATTTGCAAAAGAACATCGTAAGAATTTTCTTCTCGGATTCATAGAATTGGTTTTTAGCTGATTTGGTATAGAAATAAGCCACAGAATATGAGTTTGTACTTCTTTAATTAGCTAAACAGATCATGATTTTATTAGTATTAATAAAGTGCAATAGTTAGTTTCTGAGAAATAAGGGGGTGTCGCTTTAGGAGATCTATGTCAGTATCGACGACTTCCCTCTATTAATAAATAATAACTAACAGTACTTGCACATCACAACAATTATCAAATTTTGTTTCAAGAATATGCACATGGACAAAAGAGGTTGGAACGATATTGGCTATAATTTCCTAGTCGGTGAAGACGGAAACGTGTATGAGGGTCGTGGATGGAGCAAGAAAGGCGCTCATTCTGTACCTTTCAATAATAAGAGTATTGGAATTTGCATCATCGGAGATTACAGAAGTAAGCAATACCAGAAATAAAATGGATTTGCAATTAATATCGCATGTAGGTAACACGTATTTCTCTAACATTTTTCTTATTAGACCGAACACCAAATGCAGCGGCAGTACAAGCAGTGACTAATTTGATTGCTCATGGAGTAGAAAGTAACGAAATAAAGAGTGATTACAAGCTTCTTGGACATCGACAAACCTGGCCAACCGAATGTCCCGGAAATAGTCTTTACACAATGATAAAGTCATGGCCTCATTGGTCGGAAAGTCAATAAATAATAATGTATATCGTTTTTAATACGACACATAACGAAAATCTTTTTTATTGGTCGCGATCAGAACGATTATAAATCATGATTGCGTAATCGATTAACAATTAATGAATATTTACGAGATTCACAATGCTCTATAAATGTCAAAATTCACACCATCGTACTAATGTATATCGCTTTATCAGATTAATTAATATGCAAATATTTGTAAAAATAAACCAAACAATCATTGTTTGTATATAAGCATAAATGATTTAATTCAATTTTATATGTAATATAACATAATTATTATAAAATATTAATTTAATAATATTATTAGCAATTAACAATCAAGTACATAATTTCTATGTAATTATTATATATAGATAGTAACAAAATCGTTGAGGTATTTATCGTAAGTATCCTCCTCAGTCCTGACGCAAATTTCCAATCTCGAGAAATCAAGTAATTTATTGCTTTCGTAATCACTCTGGTCCCTTATCTAAAATGAAATAAATTATTTTATTCTTTCTATATTTTCAATATGTGCCATAGAGAAATATCATTGTCGAGTCTCATGTTTTGCAATATAGCAAATATACATAATAATTACACACCTGCAGGGGAATTTGTTTCCCAAATTGCTTATTCAATTCTTCTATGCATATTTTCGTTCCATACGGAATGCCAGATTTTAAATTACCAGCGACAGTAACGTAACGCGTACGACCATCAAGATAATCCTAAAATGAATTCGTATATATTTGATAGAATGGTATGTAAGTCGTTTTTGCCACATTGCGTTTGTCACGCTTACGAACCTGAAGAGTCTTCAATCCTTTTCCTTGATCATCTAGATAATTACGTTTATCGTCCGTCTCAAACACAGGATAATATGCGGAAAGAGATACGTTATGAACAGCAAATCCCATACATTTCAAATCCGTTCTATTCAAGCTCTCATCTAAAATCAATTATACTAAGCGTGAAGTAAGTTTAACGAAGTTAAACACTTGAAAAATTTAATCATTAAAAATACCCTGAGGAAAAAAACATGTTTGATATTTATGACTATAATTATATGATAAGATACTTATAATTAGAAGCTCCTTTTTCTATCATTATTATTGGTATAACATGTTAGTATAATAATTACATTTATGGTTTTATATACCAAAAAATATTTAATATTTGTATAAGTTATTATTATTAATATTATAGCAGCAATATCTAATTATAAAAATAGAGTTCCTAACCATAATTAATCTACTATGCAATTATAATACCAAATATCAAACACTTTTCTCTCATTGTGGTAGTTTTTTATCGATATGCTAAATTATTAAGAGTAAAATTGCTTACCAGACGCGAAGACTATGGAAAACAGAACAAGTGCGAAAATCGCGAACATTTTTGTAAATAAATAAATAACACAACTAGTATATCGCGTATCACGCCAATAATCATACTGATTGCCAAATGACAAAATCCTTTTTTTAAAGCTGACCAACTTTTATACAATGATGATCGGAATTTGCTAACGCTTGACAATTTACTCAATCGCTTCTCAATACATACTAAAGTCGGTTTCAAGACAACATGGCCAGTACACGTTAACATTAGCCAATGTAACATTGTCCTGTCATGTATATAAATTCTATTTCCACGAATTATAAATATTGATGTTAGGTGATATTTGTTATAAAGACAATTTAACATTTTTTCGAACGAAATGATGTTGGTCTACAATGTGACCTAATGCGCACATTTAGCAGTTTATACACATAAAAAAATACATATCGTACACAAATAATAATTATTTACAAAAATATTTCCAGCATTTCAAAAGTTTATATAACTGCAAATCTATCGTAAGTTCATTACAAACGTCAAATTAATTTAAGATATGTTCTGAATTCTAGAAAATTTATAATTTAATACTTTAATCAAAATTATTAAAGTAAAACTCGATTTGCTTATTATATGTATAAAGTTGCTTCTTCGATCAATTTTATACAAGTTTTTAAAAGAAAACTTATGTTTTAAATACATAATAACAAATACATAATAACAAATAAGTTGTTCTAAAATTTATAAATATATTTTAAGTATAAAAGAAATAAATATATTTTAAGATTATCAAAAAAATATTTTTCATTAAAAATAAGCGTTACTTAAAACAAAAAAAATTGAGTAATACAATGACATTTTTCTATGTGTTATAATAAAAGGATAATCCAACTTTGCTCACATTTATTAAATATTGTCATATATATTCATATGCTTAATTATGCATATAATAGTGGCTCTAGACGCAACATAGCCAAAATATACCAACTTTGCGCATATTCGCTAAACATTGGTATACATTCATATAATTATGCATGACATATGTATGTGTGTATAATATATGCTAATATTAACATACATTTGCCACGTCATCCGAAGCCGTTACTAATGAATATCAATCATTATCATAAAGGATATCAATCATACTGTATTTATATACGATCAACATTAGCTTAGCATTGCTGATCTTTTATAAACAAATGAAATCAAAATCACTATATACAAGGACATGGTATATATACTATCCTCATGAATTGTCCCTATATGAATTGTTCATCATATACATATATAAGGAATCTTGTTATTTATAATAATCAGCAATACTTTCTTCCTCAATACACAATTATGATATATCTGTCCTAAATTTCAATATATTTAAACAGAATCGATAATTTAAAAACATATTTTTAATCCCACATTAGAAGTAGATTATCATTAAAAAAATAATGCTTATTTCATACCTTTACATAAGTTCTTTCCAGGAAAACAAAAAGTTTCATTGAGATATTGAAAGAGCAGTGGCGACATATAGGAACAATTACAAATAACTCAAACTGCACCCCGGTAAAAAATTTTTCGTGCATGAATATGTATAAATATGTATAAACATACATAATTTTATATGAAACATGTTTATACATTCTTCTTTCTTTTGTAAAATTACTTTTTAATGTAACAGAAATAACAATAGTAATGTGAAAACATTAAAAATAACTTAAAAAGTAATTTTTACACTATATTTATTTTAGAAAAAATCAAGTTCAAAGAAATGTAAAAAAATTACTTATGTATAATTATATATAAAATTATGCATAATTGTGTATGAGCAATTTTTTAAAATTTATCCAAACTTGTTTTTTTCTAAAACGAACAATGCAAAAATTATCCCTTTAATTATTTTTTAAATGTTTTCACACATTACTATTGTTATTTCTACTACACTAAAAATAAGCAAAAAATGATATTTACCACAAGGCTGCTCCGCCGGTGCCTGATGCCTCTCCCAGACCTCCTCCTCCTCTCAAAAGTGGGTTGATCCTCTCGCACAGGACACTCGCGTGAAACACTCGCGAATAATATACTATAATCGCGCGCGGACTAATTATTTATAAAAAAAAGTCTTTCGCGCGACACTGCGTTCCACGTTTACAAAACCCATGATAAGATTTCTATTTCGATCGGTGGAATCAACATCACATGTCGACGAGTACTTGCGAAACACACGATGAATGCCGAACAAGGGTTAAGCCCCATACGAAAGAAAAAAATCGATCGTATCGAGTCCGTCGCCTCTGTTTTATGCAAAATCACGTTTAAAATTGACTCAAACATACGCCCTAACTGCTAGTTCAAGTGGGCCACAAGTGGTGCTGTACCACGAGCTCCCAAGAGACTGGTAAACGTGACAAGCGTCTCTAATAAGAGAAATGTTGGTACCATTGCCGATTGTCTAACAATCTAGACAATGCAGGAAATGGGATCCAACCCCTCGTCGACGAGCTATAGTCCTTTTACAGACTACTAGAGCTAGGCTCTGACCAAGTCAGATTAAACGCGATTTAGGCTGGTAGATAATAACAGAGAAATAAGCGCCCTGACTAGAGTTATACAACTCCTTTTTGGGCGACCCATCAGGGCGTAATTCTGTAACTCGTTATGCAATCGTTACGTGCTCATAACGACTGCATAACTCGAGTTACCGAATACAGGCCCAGAGAAGAATCCGAGTCGATTGATTGTTTCTTATCGCTCAGGACCGAACGTTGGCCGACAGACAGAGCGCGTCCTCAATTAGCCGACAGCAACCGAAGTTGCTAAACCGCGCGAACACGCACTGCGAAGTGCGTGACATTACGCGGCCGGCATCACCTCGTGCCCGAGCACTTGGCGTGAGAGCGTTGCAGTAACCGTGGCCACCTAAGCAACGTCCCAAAGAGAGTCTGCTTTCCTGTCGAAACATCGCAGATATGATTTCACCGCCGAACTGGAATTCCGTCGAATAGGTTTTGTTAAAAGTCCATTAGTCCGATAACTTGAACGGCACTCCCGAAGCAAACGCGCGACGCGACGAACCGGCTGCGGTTCGTTC